TTCATTAATTTATATTTTTAGACAAAAGAATTTTTACAGTAAATATCATGCATTTTAAGAGTAAATAGGAATATTCAATATTCAGATTAATAAACAATTTTAATTGATATAATCAATTTAACCACATTAATATAGAATTGATTTGGAGATAATTTATAAGTGCAAGAAAATTTTATAATTTGAATGTTGTAGATATAATAAATAAATTGATTTAAAAGAACGAACCAATTTGAATTTTTAAATAGAGATGATTGTAATTCAAAGAATGAGCAAATTAAATATTTTCAAAAATTTAATTAAAATTTGTTGTTTGATACAATCGATTATGATTAATTATGAAATAATCTTGATTGGAGAGAATCCAAAATTCTTATTGTCTATAAAGTTCTGAAATAACAACGCTATTGAACAAAATATTTGGTTACCATTTTTAAATAAGTATTAGAAGATGTACAAAAGGTTTTTACATTAAAATGTTAAAAATATAAAATAAATTATAATTAGGCATTGAAATTGATAATAAATTTTTGATTGATTCAGAAAGGCTATAAATCCAAATTTATAGGATACAGATTATGATAAAAGGCTTGCACTATTTATCTTTTATGTAATGAAATAATCATCATTAATGTAAAAGGCGAGATCAATAAATAATTTCAAAAGTTGATAGAGATCTGTATGTTCACTTTTTTAGTAAAACGACATAAATTTATCTATTTCAAAATAGATTTCGTAGTTTTTTTCTTAAAATAGTTAAACAAATAGTAAAAATAATTTAATTACTCAATTTGAAGATATAGATCTAAATGTTGATAATATAGAAATTTTGGGCATAGTTTCATTTCCAGAGAAAATGGAATAAAGATAATAATATAAATTGGTAGAAAGAAAAATATGAGGAATCCTATTCTCATGAAGCATATATATATGGATTAAATATTATTATAAAATGCATAATATGGATTATTATAAACTTGGAGTTCTTTTATGATTAAAATTAGATAAGATTGGGATGTAGTTTCATAAATGCCAGGCTTATTAGAATTTAAGATTTACAAGAATACTAAGAATATTTTAATTTGAAAAATATTCTACATGAACAAATTGAAAAATATAAGTTATTTGCTTTACTTTCAAAAATATCTTAAGAAATTTAAAATTCGTTTTGCTAATCATTAGAATAATATCAAAGTTTATAAAATGAATAAGAGCAAAAGTTATTATAAATAATTAAAGCGATCAATTGAACTAAATTAAAGATGAACACAAAATTGATATTTAGAATTATTAATAGAATATAAATGGAAAGAAATAAAATAAAGATACCCTGAGTGGAGATTTTCAATCCATGATTAAGATAAAGTAATTTAGAATAAAAGAAGAATGAAGAATCTCTGTAATAAAGAAATGGGGTCTAGAATATGTGAGGATTTTAGAAGATAATCGTAATTATAAATAAAATATGTACCTATTATGGTAGTTATATAATAGAACAAATCATTACATTTTTATGCTAGAAAACTCTGAAGAAACTTAATTGATGAATTAAAAATAAATCAATAATTAATGGAAAAAAATAGTTGATAGTTGAGGAAGTAGAATTGTTTTAATGAGTAATTTAAAATTATTAAACAAATAATTAAAAAAGTAAAAATATTCTAAAAAGAATATTAATGTTTTTTCATAAATTTTTTATTCAAATAAATAAAAGTAAGTTTAGTGTCATTATTTTCAATAAAACTAGACTTTAAATAGATTTCAAAGAAGCTAATATAAAAAATTAAATTAAACAATTATAATCTCAAAATGAAGATGGTGAGACCAATTATAAAGAAGCATTTGTTTTGGCTAATAAATTATCAATCATTTTCAAATTTAAAAGTAATTCATAAATTCTATATAGCACAATAATTTTTGAAATAAGAAAAAGAATTCATTTTGTAGCATGTACAAAAACAAATTGAAAATTTTGGATTATAAGTTATAGTATCTGAATTAGGCAAGGGATTTGAATGTTCTAAATTGAAATCAATTTAGAACATTTAAAAATAGATGACACTTAGCTTGAAATTCTAAAGTAGTCATGTCATATATTTTTGAAATATAAAATATATGAATAGATATAATCTAAATTATTAAGACAACAATAATTTATAACTTGATGTAATATAAAATTTACTCTTACTTATTTGTTATGAAATTTATTATTTTCTTACATATTTATAAAAATTTTTGTTAATTTCCAAGAATCAAATTAGCAAGAAAATCTATTAGGTATACTTAGCCTGGTTTAATAATTTCATTTTTATTTTTAAATTTAGTTAAAATTGCCTTTATTATGTCCAAAATTTTATTTCTTTTCTAACATTCATAATCTTCCATCTAAAAGTAAAAGCTCATTTGTTTTGTTAAATATAAAATTAGTTGCGTAATAATAATTAATTATTTTTGTGTTAAAATTCACTAACAAAAATGGATGAGATAAAAATTTAATATAAGATAATACATATATACCTAATAATAATAAGATTAAAATTAAAAATTCTTTTATATAAATACATATAAAGAAAGAATAGGTAGCAAAAGGCACTTACAATTGTATATACATTGACAAATTCTTTACTTTTTGGAGGATTAAAATTATTAAAGAAGTTTTTTATAATTTTTTATTAAAAATTCAAATATAATTACATACATAACATTTATGACTTGTTTATATGATATTAAGAATAATAGATCTTTTTAAATGTAATAAAGTTATTTCCTTAAATTTCATGAAATAAATTTTTTACATTATTATAAATATCTAATTAATATGCCATTTATGATGATATAAAAAGAGGCATCATTGTTTGCTTTGATGACAATCTTATAAGTCTCGGTTTGCTAATGGACTGGAATAGTAGGTTATTATTGTGAGAATGAAATATTCACAAATTTAGTAAATGTAGGAGGCTTTAGTGTTCCTTCATAACCAAAAATAGCATAAAATACAGATTGTACGAATCCACCTACTAGCTATATTATTCTTTATTCATAATAGCAAATATTAAAAAGTGATGTTGAAATAGAGTTTATTTCTGGAGATTATATATCAATGGATTTATTTTTTTAAAGTAATTGGCAAAATGGGATTGTTAATATAAAAATAGGAGGATTTAATTATGAATTCTAGTATTCTTCACCTAATTAATATCCATTATCAAAAGGATTTTGTGATAATATATAATATGATGTAAAAACTGTAAAATTTGAAATTACATCATCACAAAAGGATTTAGTGGAAGTTAATACAAACATAAACAGTAATGGAAAAGTTTCAATAAGGAATTTTTATTTATCAAGATTATTATGTTATCCCTTATGTAAAACTTGCAAAGGTGCAGAATATGATTAGTGTTCTAGCTGTTATAATGGATCACCTACCAATAATATTTGTTAACCATGTCCAGATAATAAGTATCTAATGTAAAATGAATGCAAAACAACTTGTGATTTTTATTATCGTTCAAATTATGATAGAACATGTATAAAGTTTTAATGTAATATTTTTTAATAATGAAAGCAAGCCCTATTTCTTTTGAATAGGATTTTCCAAATGAAGAGAGATACTCTCTTAAATTTCCACTTATGATTAATGATCCAGAATTTGATAAAGCAAATTTTGGATTATTCCATGGTATATTTACTAAAAATACTGCCACTTATCGATTTGTTGATTTATCTTCATATTAATAAGGAATTTGCTTAATAGGAATAAGATTGAGTATATCATTTTATAATGATATTCCTGTAGGAGGAGGGATAGAATTTAAAATTAATAATACTTATTATGGATCAATATAAAATACAAATGAAGGCAAGAAATTTCACAGAACCAAATTATATCAAGAAGATTAATTTATTTGCCCTAGTTTATGGACTAATTGTTAAAGTTCTACAATATTTTTGTTTGTTGATATTCCAAAATATTCTTTTGTGTTTACAGCTCTTGGAAATTACAAGTAAATATTAAATAGATAAATTCTTTTAGAACTTCAGATTCAGGATGGAGTATAAGAGAATTTGAGGTATCTTCTGGATATTGTCAATCTAATTGTAAATTTTGTGAGATACCTTATGTATGTTAAATTTGTAATGACGCATTATACATATCAAGTGAAGGTAATTGTGTTCCATGTAATGAATCTTATGAAACAATAAACTCAAACTTTTGTGATTCTTATGATTAGGAAACTCAATGTATTAATATGTATTAACTATTTAGATTCAAAATTTTTAATAAAAAATGAATATTTTAGTTAGATTAATGATCCATTATAAACTTCTTAATATATTTTAGTATCATAAAAAGGTGTAAATTTTTTAAAAGGATCATCTATCTTTTATTCATTATGGAAAAGAAAGTATATTTTTGGAGGATAATTTGTTTGGAGTTAAGCAAAGTTTAAAATAACTCATGAAATTAAAAATCCGCATCATAGAGTAACAATAGGGTTTTATATTTTATATGGTAAGAATTTTCCATCAGATGGCAAATTTATTTACACTTTTGAATAAAATTAAGCCATAATAAAATCTAGAGAAAGTGCAGATATAACTAATGATGATGAAACAAAATCAGAGAGAATGAAATTTATAGAAATCCATTTTTCTAATACATTAACTTTGTATTGGGAATGTTCAGGTGATAACAACAATCCTTAAGATGCATATTGTGGAATATATGGATATAATGTTGTAGTTCATTATTGCTAACCTAATTGTTTATAATGTCTAAATTATAATGCTTGTTAATTGTGGGATAACTCAGTTGAATTAAAATATCGTACTGCTAATGCATGTTAATCTAAAAAATATTATAACAAGTAGGAGTAAAAATGTTTATCTTGTCCTGCAACTTGTCTTACTTGTACATCTGCACAAAATTGTTAGAGTTGTGTATCAACATATAGTCTTATGAGATAAGGATGTAGTTGTTTAATGAATTAGTATGAAGCAAATAATTAATGTTATGAATGTCCAATCGGATGTAATCAATGTCTAAGTGATACACATTGTTTAGAATGTGTAATTGAAAATAAAAGAGTATTATAAAATGGGTAATGTGTATGTTTAGAGGGTTATTATTCTGAAATTTCTAATCCAGTTTGTTAAAAATGCAAAAGTCAATTAACATGCTAATGTACTTCAGGTACAAGTTATGATTTATCTTCAAATTCTTGTACAGCATGTCATTCAACTTGTTTAACTTGTTTTAATACAAAAATAAATGGTTGTTTATCTTGTGATCTAACAAAAAATAGAATATTAAAAGGATTAAAATGTTCATGTAAACCTGGATACTATGAATAAAGTAATAGTTGTTTAAGTAAGTTATCAAATAAACTTTAGGCTGTCCAACAACTAAAAATTCATCTCTAACACAATGTTTTAAATTATGTTTAAATAATACTTTGATTTGGCATTCAGTAACTTGTGAATCATGTGATCCTGGATTTAAGCTTGTTCTTGGTGAATGTATGCCTGTATGTGGAGATTTCTAAATAGTTGGATATGAAGAATGTGAAGATGGAAACAATGATTTAGATGATTTATGCTTTAATTGCTAATATTAATGTCCTAATGATTGTCAAACTTGTACTTCAACAACTGTATTACCATGCTCAGGTACATGTGGAGATGGAATAGTTAATGGTAAGGAAGAATGTGATGATGGAAATAATATAGAATTTGATGGGTGTCACAATTGTAAATTTTAATGTGCTTAATCTTGTACAAAATGTGTTAAAGGTAAATGTCAATAATGTGTTACAAAACGATTCAACAATAGTTTTCTAATGTCTTCTTAAAATTGTTAATTATAATGTGGATATGGATATTTAATTGAAAGTGATTATTGTTTAAGTGAGACATCTACTAATGTTGATGGATGTTAAATATGTAGATTCAATTGTAGAAGTGATTGTTCCAATTGTGATTATAAAACAGCTACTTGTCTAGACTGTGATCCTATTGGATTTAAACCTTATTCCTCATTCTGTAAAAATAATTGTGGAGATGGACTTGCCGTATATGATCATAATCTATTTTATTCTGAATATTGTGATGATGGAAATATTATAGACAATGACGGTTGTAGTGGTTAATGTAAATATGAATGCTAAGATGGAATTATTTGTACTAGTTGCATAAATACTAGATGTTATGCTTGCGGATCAGGCTTTTATTTATCTGATAATTATGATTGCTAATCTAAATGTGGAGATGCCATCAAAACTTAATTTGAACAATGTGATATTGAATTACCATATAGAGGATGTTAAGATTGTCTACCAAAATGCTAAAATTCATGTCTAGATTGTAGTACTATCGGTCTTGGTTGTTTATAATGTTAGACTGGTTATTAAAATATAGATAACATGTGTTATACTATTTGTGGAGATCAATATATTACTCCAGATGAATAATGTGATGATGGAAATCTCATATTTGAAGATGGATGTCATTTCTGTGAAAATATTTGTACTTTTGGTTGTTCCATGTGTTAATATGGCATTTGTTATGATTGTAATGAAGGCTTTACTTATTTTAAACATAAATGCATTAAAATTTAGGATAACTATAAAGATCCAAGATGTAACTCTTCATGTTTAGAATGTAGTATTGAAGGACTTGGTTGTTTAGCTTGTAAAACTGGATTTAAAAAAATTGATAATGTTTGTTATTCTATATGTGGTGATAAATTACGTATTGCTGATGAATAGTGTGATGATGACAATTTAAAATTTGAAGATGGATGTCATTAATGTTAAAAAGGTTGTCCTATAGGTTGTTCCAATTGTTAAGAAGGTGTCTGTATTGATTGTCTAGAAGGCTTCTCTTATTTTAAAAATTAATGCATTAAAATTCATGATATCTATAGAGATCCTAGATGTGAATCTTCATGTTTAGAATGCAGTATTGAAGGTTCTGGTTGCTTAGCTTGTTCAACTGGGTTTAATAAAATTGATAACGTTTGTTATTCTGTTTGTGGTGATAGTCAACGTTATGGTGAGGAATAATGTGACGATGCAAATTTTTATTATGAAGATGGATGTCATTAATGTCGTTTTGAATGTCCCATGTCATGTTCAAATTGTAATTAAGGTGTTTGCTATAAATGTCACAAAGGATTTTTATATTTTAAACATCAATGTTTTGAGTTTACTAATGCACCTCTTGCAGAAAATTCAAATTTTAAATTTACAAATTTAATCATCGATCAATTTTTTATTGATAAACCTAGTTAAATCAATAGAATTCAAGCAAAAATTTTTGAATTTCCATAATAAGATTATGATTCTATTGGTTAATTTGTAGAAGGAATGGATTCTCTTTATCCAAATCTAACTATGGAGGTTTATCTTAAATGCTTTAAGAATAAGAAATTAGAGGGTGAAATAAATAATTTTAGATATAACAAGGGTTTTGATCAACAATCAACCATATTTATTTATCAATGTCATGAAACTTATCCTCATTTAATCACATATTCTTTTAAAATACACAAAAAAGTGTTGAAAGATGAGATTTTAATAATCACCATTTTTGAAGATTTTTTTGAATTATCTACCTTAGTTAGACAATATAAACAAATTTTATTATAAATCAAATTTACAAATATTTGAAAGACTTGTCATGAATTATATAATTTTTGTAATAAGCAAATAAAGAATTAATAGATCTATTTAAAAGGATTATTATTATTTTATTAAAAAAAACATAAGAGTTAATTTATTATTAAACTATTGAATTTATTAGTTTTTTCTAATTAGTGTACATTTTTTCTTTTTTGTTAAATTTTACAATAGGAGAAAATTATAATAATTTTCACTATGATTTTACTAGCACATCCAAAAATTAAAGTAAAATTTATATGTTATAATAAGACCAATATTTTAATCAATTTACATTTTGACAAATAAATTATGAATTACTTTTTCTTGATAAATATTTTCAAATTTTTACTTATTCGATTGATTTAATGAATAATCATTTAATAAAATTTGATTCAAGATTTCCAATTTTTAAATGGCAATAATTATTATTCATATATACGGATATCATTTGGTTATTTTATTATGTAAACAAAAAAAATATAATCTTTAAAAAAGATTATTTAACCACTTAAAAATAATAAACTCTAATAAACATTAATTTTTCATTTCTCAACTATAAGCAACAAAGCATTTCAATTTAAATTTACTAAAAATTACCTACATCATAATAGATTTAAATTGATAAGGCATGGTATTTTCATGAAAAAAATTTTTTTATCTTTTGAAAATTGCTAAATTTATAGATGAAATATTATGGAAATTCAAAGATGAAAATAGTAAAAATAATAAATGAATTTTAGATACAAAAAAAAAAGGATTTTAACAGAATAGTATTAATTTTATTTTTTATCAAAACAATCACAAGATGAAATTCGGATAGCTAAATATTTTTTTGCTTCTCTTGAATCCTTCTTCCATTTTGTATTTATCTCTCTTCATTATATACCATATACCAATTTTTTAACAATTTTTATATTGACCAGAATATAGAATTTATTATTATCCAAATCCATTTCCAAAATTATCACTCAACTCAATCCAATTTCCAATCTTATGTGAATTTACAATATTATTTTCATCTTGTTCTATTATATATGTTCCTCCACCACTATTTTTATAAAAATATTAAAAATTTTCTTACATTAATTCATTTTCATATTTCCATTCATCCTTAAAATAAATATCCCATCTTCCCTATTTATTCCCATTAATATAATCACCACTATAAAATACTTAACCATAACTAATAATTTTAATTTATATAATACCTCCAAAAACCATCATTCAATTCAATCCATTTACCATTCTTATTTGAATTAACAATAAGACCTCCATCTTACTTAATATTATATTATCCACCACCACTATATTCCAAATAATTGATATATATTTACTTACATTAAATAATTCTTTTTTGTCCATAAATCTTTGTAGAATATATCCCATCTTCCTACTTTTTTACCATTTTGATATTCACCAATATAAGTGATTTAACTTTTCCTAATGATTTAAATATTCAATTCTAACATACCTACAAAACCCTTCAAATAGTTCAGTCCATTTTCCTACTTTGATTGAGTCTGTAAATTAATAACCTGATTGTTCTTCATCATATTAGCCTCCTCCACTTTTAGTAAAAATATATATAACATTCTAATTACATCAACTTNTAAGCAACAAAGCATTTCAATTTAAATTTACTAAAAATTACCTACATCATAATAGATTTAAATTGATAAGGCATGGTATTTTCATGAAAAAAATTTTTTTATCTTTTGAAAATTGCTAAATTTATAGATGAAATATTATGGAAATTCAAAGATGAAAATAGTAAAAATAATAAATGAATTTTAGATACAAAAAAAAAAGGATTTTAACAGAATAGTATTAATTTTATTTTTTATCAAAACAATCACAAGATGAAATTCGGATAGCTAAATATTTTTTTGCTTCTCTTGAATCCTTCTTCCATTTTGTATTTATCTCTCTTCATTATATACCATATACCAATTTTTTAACAATTTTTATATTGACCAGAATATAGAATTTATTATTATCCAAATCCATTTCCAAAATTATCACTCAACTCAATCCAATTTCCAATCTTATGTGAATTTACAATATTATTTTCATCTTGTTCTATTATATATGTTCCTCCACCACTATTTTTATAAAAATATTAAAAATTTTCTTACATTAATTCATTTTCATATTTCCATTCATCCTTAAAATAAATATCCCATCTTCCCTATTTATTCCCATTAATATAATCACCACTATAAAATACTTAACCATAACTAATAATTTTAATTTATATAATACCTCCAAAAACCATCATTCAATTCAATCCATTTACCATTCTTATTTGAATTAACAATAAGACCTCCATCTTACTTAATATTATATTATCCACCACCACTATATTCCAAATAATTGATATATATTTACTTACATTAAATAATTCTTTTTTGTCCATAAATCTTTGTAGAATATATCCCATCTTCCTACTTTTTTACCATTTTGATATTCACCAATATAAGTGATTTAACTTTTCCTAATGATTTAAATATTCAATTCTAACATACCTACAAAACCCTTCAAATAGTTCAGTCCATTTTCCTACTTTGATTGAGTCTGTAAATTAATAACCTGATTGTTCTTCATCATATTAGCCTCCTCCACTTTTAGTAAAAATATATATAACATTCTAATTACATCAACTTCTTTTGATTATTTCCATGATTCTTTTAAAACCAAATATCCCATCTACCTATTTTTCTACCTTCTACATACTAACCATCATAAGTGATCCTGCTCTGACTAATAATAATTTAATTAATTTATCATAACTTATAAAACCAGTCACTGGGTTCAATCCATCTACCAATTTTAATTACATTTTTCACAACATCACTTCTTTGATTTTCATAAAATTATCCTCCACCACTTTTATAAAAAATATTGTTTTACATCAATTTATTTTCAAAATATATATCCCATCTACCAACCTTATTTCCATTTTTGTATTCTCCATGATATATAATTTAACTACAACTATCATATTTTTATAGAATCTATATTACTCCCAAAACTTATCACTTAATTCTGTCCATTTACCATTTCTTTGACCTTATTCATTATATAATCCACCATCTCTTATAATTAATGATAAATATCAATACATTATATTATTAAAATATATATATTTCCATACTCCTCTTCTTTAATTATTAAAATATTCTCCTAATTCTTAGACTTAGCCTCGACTATTTAAGATAATAATTTATAATTCATCACCTCCAATAGTTTTTTATTAGTTCATTCCAGTACCCTTCCTTTTTTCCATCATTAGAGTAATACCCACCAACTCCTTTTAGCTTTTATCCTTTCCAAGACTCAGTCCACTTACCAATTTTCTACATTTTCTTTCCATATTATCCAATCCATTTATGATTCTAAATATATTCTAAATTTATTGACTTTTTAGGTCTTACCGAAAAATTTTTAAACGAATCACTAAATTTATTTTAAGTAGATGAAAATTTTACATTTTTATGAATGATTCACAACCTTCCTAATATTCAATTTCTTTATTTAACTTTTTTTTTATTTTTAATCTTGTCTTCAAAAATCTCTCTGTTTTGGAATCCCAAATTACTACTTCATATTCATAATAGTATCATACTTTTAATACTCTCATGTTCATTTCTCTAAGATTCAGATATGTAGTCTACTTATGTTATTTCAATAATATCCAGTGCTTATTATTTGCAAGCATTACCCATTTCAATAATATAATTTATAATTAATTTAAAAACCAAATATATCAAAAAGTAATTCATTATTAGAGTAATAATTTTGATATTTTTTATTAATATGTCTTCTTTAACTTAAAGAATATAGTCAATAACTTTAAAAACACCTTTTAAGTAATTAATATTATCTTTTGAAAAAACAAAAATCATACTAATATTATATTCTTCAATAATTTGATTTAACAAAATCAAGAATATTTTCAAAAATTTAGGGAATTGGCATCTAAAAAATTTCAATCAAAATTTTTGGATTTAAGATTTGTAAATAGAATTTTAATTTTAGAATTAAAAAAATATTTTAATTGTCATTATTTTTCCGATATAAAACATTTTGTTATGGCAAATATAGAAAGAATTCAAAACAATTTGAATATAAATGTTAATTTATGTCTTAATTTTTTGTATTTAATTTATAAAATTAGAAAACAAATTTACAAATTGATATGATATAGAAAATGATTTCATACTAAAAATTCAATTTAAAAACAATTTTAGTAAGAGGCTTAAAATTTATCAAGCAAAACTAGTTTACTCCAATATTTATAAATTATTTTGATTTGAAGATTTATACAATTTAATTTCTTTATTAGTTATTTTTGAATGAAGTAGTTTATAAGAATTAAATTTTGAGTATACTCAATTTTATTGAGTACTCATTAATAAAGAAAACAAAATAATTCTTAAATAAATTTACATTCATCATATTTTACTTATAATTTCGCATAATCAGACTCTCAACAAGAAATCTTTCATGAAATAAAAAATTTTAATTAAAATTAATATTTCAAAATTGATTTTTAAGCAATTTTTTCTTATTTGATTAGTCAATTAAAAGATTGCTTAAAAACCAAACAAAATTTCATCAAAGAAGCTTAAATATATAGTTCAATAATACTGTACATAATGATGGACATATATATAGTTCAATTTTATCTGAATAAATTCAGGTTTAACATCATAAAAATTTTGTTTAAAATTCACTTATAAGTGACTTAAAAGATCTTTTCGAGAAAAATATAATTTATACTTAATTTTTAATTGTTTAACTTAAAAAATGATGGATAAATTGAAAAAAAAACACTCTAGAAAGTTTTTAAAATGAAATTTTTTGGCTTCATGAAATATAATGAAGTTTTCCTTATCATAAAGGCTTTTCCATAACCCATTATATTGTTATACATTAAATCAGAAATATTATTCCCATTTTATGTTGAGTTTTTGATAAATTAAATTATTTTTTTTAAATAAAAAAGAAACTAAATAAACAATTATACAGAATTAAATTAAAATAAATAACTACTTATAAATTTAAATTGGAAATATACTGAACTTAAGAAATATCTATGATACATTATAATGTAAAACCCAATTTTTTTTGAGGAAAAAATATAAGGTATAACAAAATTCAATATTTGATATTTTATTTAATTAATTTTCATTAATATACTTAATTTTCATTAATATACCAATCTTATTATTCTTGAAATAATTATTTTATTTTAAAACGATTTATTAACTAAAAATCTAAATTGATAGAAAGAGAATAAATTAACAAATTTTTTATGAATCTTAGATATAAAAATTAAAACTATTAATAATTTAATTGAAGTTGATATCATATTTCTTTTGTTTAAATATTTTTCTAGTCTGTATTTAATCTATTTAAATACTTTTCTTCTATTATAATATCAACTATTGAATCAACAATTTTCATATTTATTTAAAATTTATCATAGTAAACTAATGGCTAGGGACGCTTAATTGGAGAATCACCAATTCGATCTTAAAATAAACTATTTGACATAAATATATAAGCTGGAGAATGCATCAATATTAATTAAGCGTTTTCAACTTTCAGATATATACTTTTACCTTAATGTTTCTTGATACAATGTCTCTAGAGATTTCCTTGTAGTTTCTTAATAATAATATTAAAATACTTTATTAAGTTCTCCACAATATTCGGAACACATTTTCTTAAAACATATTAGACATATGTAATATCCTTTAAATTCAACCTATAAATATATTTTAGTAATTTAGCATTTTTTCTTTTAACATGGAGATAAACAATGTTTATCTAAAAATGAACTAAATTATTTTGTTAAGAAATTTAACATCTAAGATTTAAATGTTTCTTTAATTTTTTAAATATCATAAGGTAATAAAAATTATTTTTGATTAATTTAATAGGTGGTTTGTTTTTATGTAAATACTTGAAATAATACTTTAGCCAATTCAAATTAAGGATTTAATAATATTAAAAGATTTTACTCAAATTAATAAAGATTATACTCTTTAATAAGATGAATTTAGACAGTTTTTAAAATTTTAAATAATGTTTCTTTTTCATCTATTTTGATTAAATCAACTATCTTATCATCCTAATATTGATTTAACAATCTCAACATATAAATAATTTTTTAGAGAAAATGATGTTAACTCTTTTCTAAAAATGTTTTTAAATCACTTAATAACTAGAAAATTAAATTGCATAAGATTTAAGATAAAATCTCATCAAGAAATAAACAAATATCAAAATCCTTTTTTTAATAATTTTTTTCAACAATTGATTGATTTTATGGAGAGAGTGATTCAATAAAAGTTTCAACAGCATATTCAAATTGTTTAATTTCAATATTTTTGATTTAATATGGATTTGGTAAAATAAAATTATATGGTGAATAACAACAAGGGCATTTCTAATAAGATTGTATTGAAACAAACATTTATTTTTATAAGCATTCAATATGAAATATATGATTACAATTTGAAATATGCGTACACATAATATTAGTATATGGAGTAGGATAAGTTTACATAAATCTTAAATGCTCATGAATATTTGAATACTGAATCAGTATCGGCTAATATTATAATTCCTTTTATTCAAATGCTAGTTTACATAATAAACATATTTCATCAAAGTCTTTAGTAAATAAATTATTTTTGTTATTAAAATTTTCTTTCATTTGATTAAATTTTTATTTTAATTCTTGCTTGTATTTGTGATTTTTTTTAGATTAAGATTATTAAACTTGTTCATTAGATTACTAATCTAATTTTTATTTTTAAAATCTTTAACAATAAACTTAAAAAAATAATTTTTAAGTGTTATTTAAGTTTTAATTTAAAATCAATGTTTAGCAGTAATGCAAAATTTTATCCAAATTTTCCTAAATTATAGAATTGTTACTTTTAAAAAATAAATTAGATAAATATAATAAATTTATGTAAATTGCATTTTCTTATAAAATCTTAATTGATTAATCTACATTTTATTAACATTCATTATTTAATTAGAAATTGTTTTGTAAATCTTTTAAGATTGTTTTCAATAAATATTAATTTTAATCTTATGAGATTGAATTTATTATTTCAAATCTAATATTAGTAAGAGTTGATTGTGTGGTTTTGTAATATTGTAATTCATATTCTAAGGAAGATCCAAACAATTCAGCAAATTTATCATTTTTCATTTATAATTAATCATTTATTTTTTCTTTTATTCTATTATTTTATAATGCATACATTGGTTCATAAATATAAAATTATAATTCTTTTTTTAATTAAAGTTACCCATTATCTTAATTAATTTCACAAGAACTCAAAATAATTGTTTCTAAGTCATTTTAATTTTAATAACTTAATTCTTTTAGAATCCTCTTCATTTCATCTTATTAAAAAAAAGTTTAAGAATAAAATATTGTTTAAAATAATTTAGCTAATCCTTTTAAAAATTATTCATTTTAATCATATCCAATAATACTTTCTGTACATGATATTAAATCATAATCTGTTTAAGCAATTTTACATATTAAAAAAGTTAAATTTGCTTATATTCCAAGATATTAAACTATTTCGTTAAAACACTAAATAATATCATTTATTCCAACATCTTTAAACAGAAAAGCATAAATTTGTATGTATGCAATATCAACTTATTACAAAGATGCTTCATTATTTAAAATTTTCCAATAGCTTTATTATCCTCTGTAGAATTTATAATTTCCTCGTTATGAAAAAATTATATAATTTAAAATTGCTCTTTTTAAAATATTTTATAAAATTAATTTTAACTCTAAACTTTCTAATCCACTTAATGTTAGTATACTATTATATGCTTCCTAAGAATTGGTAAATTTGATTAAATATGTACATAATACAGTAATGAAGTTTCTATCACTTACAACTAAATTAAAAACAATTAATTTTAATGGAGATTAATAATCTAAATTAAAAGTAGGAACTAAGTTCTTAAGGTAATAATGCAAGATTATTCTTAAAATGTTTTAAACACCATATGATTAGATATCACCTACTGCCATTATCATGGATTTAAAATCACTTCTAAAAAAAGCCAAATTTGTTATCGATATAATTAATAAATATTTAAAAAATTTTTCTTCTTTCTCAGATTTATATTCTAACTTAAAATTTCTCATTTGTTAACATGGATTCCTCCTTGTTAATGAATATACTAACAAAGATTCATTTAGTAATTTCTAAAATTCTAATGAACTTGAATTTAATATTTGAAATTTAAAAGAACTAGTATCTTATTATAAGATTTCATCAATCTAATCAACTATTCCTTTAATAGCTTATTATGATCTGGCCATAAGATCAATTACATAATTATAATTTCTGCATAATAGTAGGGAGTTCCTATTTATTAATGGTCTAAATCAATTATAATATATACATTTCTTATAAAATATCTGAAAATACATTAAATAGACTATAACATTCTAAACTTTAAGTATTTTTATACATTCTCAATACTTCTATATAGCTTCTTTACATAAATAAATAAGATTCTTAAACAATATTACCCTAAATAATTTATTTCCTACATGTTATTTTTTTTATTTAACTGCAAGTCAATAATTTTTAAATTAAAGTAGCTAATCTTTAATCATTAATTTTTTAATATATTTTTAATTTAAATTCTTAATTCTCTTAAGTCAATATTTAGTATTTATGTACAACGAGATGTAAATTTTTAAAGTTTTTTATAACAGTCCTTTAGAGATATGTTCGAAATTCATCATTCTAAAATAAAAAAGGATAAAATTTTGAAATATCTTTTTCTAACTAAATTGATTTTGCTAAATAGGTATTATATTAAATATATTATTCCAATAGACTAGTTGTATTTTAGTTAAATGAATTTTTAAATTCCTGACTTAAAACTTTACCAGTTAAATAACTCCATACTATATTATCATTTGTTATTATTTCTAAGCATTTGAATATTAAATTATGAATTAGTTTTGTTTCGTTAATAGACTCAATAATAGTCATAAAATAAATTTTATGGGAATTAAAATACCTTTCCAAACTATCTTCTTTTAAATTTTAGATTATAACTTAAATATTTTCCAATAAATCATAAGGGTAATCTTTAACATACTCCATTTTTTTCAATAATAATCTGAAAGCTGTCATTAAAAATTCTTCATATTTATTAAAAATTATATTGTCTAATATTAATAAATTTTAATACTTTCTATCAATTCTTTATCAAATTTTAAATCAATCTAATAATGTTTTGGGCATATTTATTTTTTATTAAACATCTAAGTATCACCACAGTCACAAAATCCTTACGATGAAACTTAAATTTATACATTATGATCTAAAATTTAAATATAATTAACTTTTATGATTTTATGGAACAAAACATTCTTTACATATAATATGACTAGTATCTTAACTGCAATCAAAGCATTAGTAAAACAATTGTAAATCTAATATAGGATTGCCACAGAATGTTTTTTATCCATTATCTTTATTTTTTTTTTAAATTTCCATATATTCTTCTTAAGTGATATTAATCACATTTTAGATTAATAATTCATCATTTAAGTTATCAATTTCTTTGGAACATTTTAAAATGAGATCTTCCTACTTTTCAATATACATTTTATTTAAATGATTAAATAATAGATATAAACAGTTGCTATTAAAGTATAAAAAAATAATATAAATGAACAAAAAGTAATTAAGAAATTAGGTAGAAAATCATTTTTCAAAAATCTATTTATAAGAAGTAAAATGAAAAAATTGATACATCAATCAGAATTATATATTAGTATAGAATGTAGATGTTTCAAGTATAGAGTTACAGAAGACAAAAATTCTTTAATAAATCAATAGTGAAAATACAATATACAATATTAGTTTTCAAAGCTAAAAGTATTATAAAAGACTATTTAGATATAAATGGATTTGGCATCGTAATTTAACTTAATTATAAAGATATAATATAATTTACTAAGTAAATAATGCTATTTTTATTTTTTTTAAAGTAAGAGATGTAAATAGATAGAGGGTCAATAATCAGCAGTATTTAAATAAAGATATACTCTCTGCTATATAATTATAATTATTATTACTAGTAACCAATATTAAGTTTTTTATCAACATAATTATTACTTCTCTTTCCCTATTATATTATTTAGCGTAATAGATTACTCTGTCTTATTATATTTACTGCTATTGTTTGTTGTGAAAATAGTGGTACATATTTAGAGCTGGCTGAAATGGCTTTAGAAAAAATTATGAAGCATGGTTGAGCAGTATCTTTTTTAATATCATTATATTTTACGAGTCATATTAATGTTTTATAATAAGGATTAGACATTGGGATTAGTACTAGAACTTAGATATAAATTTCAAAAAAGTTTGTAAAATGAATATTTAGTACGAACAGGAGTCAGAAATTATACAATATATTTATCAAACTTTATAATCAATATAATATAATATAATATAATAATTATTTCTAATTTTTATATCATTTTCTAAGCTCTGTTTGTAGCACATTATAAAGATAATATCAAATATTTTAATTACAATAATATTAATGTTAGAACATCTATTTGATTCTACAATTAGATAACAATATTCCTATCTTATTATAGATTGATTGGAATTTAATCTTATCTATTATTTCAGCAATAATTTAAAATTTATTAATAGAAAAAACAATTTTATTAAGACTTTTTGCAGTTATTAAAAATAGTTGTTATATTTTACTTATTCCAATATTTTGTTGAAGTATTTCTCTTTGATTTTTTTAAAAAATAAATTTTGTAAAATAATTATCCTACTCTTTTGATATTTAATTTAATATTTTTTGGATTATGCAAATTATTAAAGCATATTTAGAAAGCCCCTTCAATTTATATGAGACAATAAATGATGTACCAGAAAAATCTTCAGATAATTTTTAACAATCTGAAGCTGATAATAAATAATTAGGGCAGGTAGATCAATTAAGAATTTAAGGTCAGATACAATTATATGATCAACAAAATCAACCTTAATTTTACGATCAACCTTATCAATCACTAAATTATTTTTAAGAACAGAATTTTTTTTCACCAACAAAGTTCCTTTAATAAAATGAGGAGGAATCAAAAAATTTTAACTAATTTTATCATGATTATGAATAATAAATTAACCTATAAGAGGAATATGATGAACAACATCAATAAGATCACCCCATAAATTTAAGAAACTAAATGTCATAAGAAAATAGGGATTTTAATCATAAATAAGTTACTCAGCTTGAACTAGAGGAATTTGGAAGAATAATTGAAGTAGGTCTTTCCTTAATTCAAAAGGAAGAAGAATTAATCGATGATAAATTTAATCACATATCGAGTAAATCATAAAATTTGTACATAATTAGTGATATTTTTTGTTCAAATACAAAGATAAAATTTAAGATTAATAATTTATACATTAGAAATGAAAAGGTCCTTAAAGATATATTTAAAAAAATCCATAAAATGAAAGTTAAACTTGACTCAGTTGATTGTGTATAATTTAATCAAGAATTAAAAAATTATTGCTAATAACATGAGATAATTTTAATCCTTTCTGGTCATTAAGAATAAATATTCAATTTTTATTATGTAAATGCTTAATAATCTATTAAATTTGCATTTAGTTTGATTAATATTTTTAATAATCAAGATTTATATGAATTTGAGGGAAAATAAGATATTATTGAACAGGGAAATAATATTATTGAAAGTATTTTAATGCTCTAAGAATAATAGGCAGGCAAAAAAATACATATAAATTTTGATATGACTAATAATTTGATTTTAGGTTGTGTTAGATGGATGAATTAGAGATATTATTAATAGTTGAATAACAATAATAGATTGTATCTTTGTTAGAATGAGAATTCAAACTGTGATGGTATAGATAACGATTTAAATTAGTAATAAATGAATAAACAACATTTTAAGATAATCTAGGAAGCAACTTAAAAATTTAGTATTTTTGCTATTTGAAATATTATTTAGAAATCAACTAGGATATAGCAGTAGTTCTATTTAAGTTAATTTTTGGTGGTGATAAATCTTTTATTATTCAGGATAAAAATTTAACTAGAAGAAGTTTAAGTTGTTTCTTTAATAAAATAATTAAATTAGCTTAATCATAAACAATAATAGAACTTGGTTAAGTGGTAAATTATTATTTATTTATTTAATAGCTTAAATTATAAAAAGAACAAAAACTTAAAGTTTTCTAGAACATGATAAAAATCAGAAATGAACATAAAAAGATACAGAAGAGATGTAAAAATTATTAAATAAATTAGAATCATAAGAATGATAAGCTAAAATAAATAAATACATAAAAACATAATCTTCTTCTTGGATGATTTTCTCCAGCCATATACTTTTCAAGAGCACTATTTTATTCTAAATATCCTGTTGTAGATAATTTAGACTTGCCTGTTGCAAGATTTTATCATCCAATATTTCTTTCTGCTTCTTTTGATATTAATTGTCTATTTTCAATATCAAATTTAAGAAAATGACTACTTCTTTATATTCAACAATAAAAAGTAGTATTACAGCTCTATCCAAATTCCTCCTTCTCTTTCTTTTCTATTCCTCAAAATGTATCTACTGGCATAAATTCCCTATATTAAAAAAATAGTGACTTAATATTTAATAAATAATTTTGGCTTTTGCATATCATTAAATTTGATTTTCTAAAAATTACCCTAATTTTATAAATTTAAGATATAAAAATCTCTCTTATCTTCTCTATATTATTTAGAAGGTAAATATTTTCAAAAATTATTATTTTATTTAGATCTAAGTTATTTTGATCTATTCTTCTAAACTTGTTTATAATATGATAAATATTTAGTGGAACATTAATAGTTCTTAATAGAAATTTAAAATAAAGACTTTGATTTCTAATCTTAGTTTAAAGGATTATTAAATAATATTTATATTCATTCTGTTTTAGTTGTGACAATAAAAACATTTTTCTGAGTTGATTTCTAATTAACAATTTATCTATTTAACTAATTTTGAAAAATTACAGAATTTTCATTTTTAATCAGTCGATAATTAATTAGTAATATAAGAAAAATTCAGAATGTTATTGAAATATTTAATCAAGCACAATCATTAGAATAATATATTTTATATGCATAATCAATTACTTTAAACTTATATTGATAATATTTATATCGATTGCTCTATCTAATTTTACAAAGTCTAACTAATAGTAATAGCATCATTAGAAAATTAAATGTTAAATACATTCACAGCAGTCATCTAAGATTGTAATAGAGCAAAAATTGATATAGAATTTGCACTTCTTAAACAATAGTAGTTTTGCTTTTTAAACTGCAAGAATTACACATATAAAATTATGACTTTATTTTTTTCTTTTATGTGTCACATTGATATTAAATTACAATATTTAGTTAAGATATTTAATTTACATAAATTGTTTCAGTAATTGGAATAGCACATACTTTATTAAGCTCTTTTAACTCTAATTATAGAGTAGAAGCTGCTAATTTTATTAAATTTTCTTTTTGACTTGCTCTTACAGTTTTGATTATCCATGGCAAATAAATCTTTGAGATTGTTCTGTGAAAATAGATATTAGTAAATCGTAATACCTAAACAACATTACCAAAACTTGACCCTAAAAATTATATTTTTTATACATTTTCCATTTGTATAGTAATTTGAGTATATTATTCTCTTAATCTTAATATTGATAGTTTGACCCCACTTAATCCTTATAAACCAATATTCCAATCCCTATCACTTGGAAATGAAAATGTAGGGCTGGTGTATAAATCTTCATTTTTTACTATTTGATTATCTAAATCAATAGCATCATCAATTGAAAGTAGAATCTAATAACCTAATTTTACTAAATTTTAAGTATTTGACTTGATTTCAATAACGACATCTTTTAAATTTATACTAACAATCTAAAATTATAATAATTGATACATTTAATGAAAAATCTATAGGGCCTTTGTAACAAAACGATGTTACATAAAGTAGTAAAGCTTTTGCTAGATTGTTAGATTTCGTAATTTACAACATTAATGACTTAAATTCTTCTGTCATCATAAGAATACCAATTAAAAAGAGCTTCCCAAATTCTATTCTAATAAAGACATCAGAATAAAACTTTAAACTCTAAATATTAATTAAATCCCTACTTGTTTTTGATATTTCTGTAATTTCAATGTCATAACCATTAGGTGAATAATAATCGTTGTTAAATTTATACATGATAATTGACACTTATGGAGGTCTTTCAAATATGCCTGAAAAAGTAAACTCTTTTATGTAGTTTGTACTAGGATTCCCTATAAATCCATCATCATTATTTAATGATGATGTGAATCCAGTATCATATGTGATATATTCATTAGAGAAGGCTATCAGCTAACATAGAATAAATGCTAAATTATGATATTTCATATCTAATTAATATTTATCTTAATTCTTCTTCAAGCAAAAAAATGAAATAATATAATAAATCTTTTATTTTCTGGTAAATCTAGTTTTAAGAAATAAAAAAAGTTTGTTATATCTATAATTCATTTTTCTACAACAATTACTTAAAAGGTA